ATGTTTCCTTGGACCCTAAAAAAAGGCTTCAGATCCCAACAAGTGGTATCAGAGCACCAGGCTACGCTTGGGTTAGGTGGAGTAGTAGATCGCTTTGGAAGTTCGTCTAGGGTTTCAATTGGAGACAAGTGTGGGATTTTTACTATTGTGGATCTTATCTTCCGTCGTGTGAGGGTGAGATCTTTTGAAGGCTCTTGTTAGAGTTTCAATTAGAGGTAAAAATTTATCTTTCTCGCAGTTTTGATCTATTTTTTCAGTTTGTTCTGCATTGATTTATTGGTGTTTTGAGGAAGATGGCTGAGAAAGAAGGTGTTGAGAGTGATACTTCTGGCGTGAAGACTATTTAAAGTTTGAATATCCACTCTATGAAGATAGATGTGGAGAAGTTTAATAGCACGAACAATTTTGGCTTATGGAGATGTGAAGTTTTGTATGCGCTGAACGCGCAAAATTTAGAAGATACTTTGGAGTTAGATGATAAGTCGGACGACATTGAAAAAAACATTTGGAAGAAGATGAATCGGACGGCGTGTGGCGTGATTAGGTCTTATTTAACGCAGGATCTAAAATATGATATGATCAATGAGACTTATGCAAAGAAGATTTGGGAGATTCTTAAAGGCAAGTATTTGACGAAAAGTGTTGAGAACCACTTGCATTTGAAGAGGAGACTTTACTGTTTCTAGTTGAAGAAGGGGATCTCAATTAGTGATCACATGAACAACCACACGAAGCTTCTTGCGAATTTGGCGAATGTGGATGTCATGATCGAGGATGAGGACAAGACATTGTTGTTGTTGAGTTCCTTACCCGATAAGGAATATGAGACATTCGTTCTTACCCTAATTAATGAAAATGCATCTCTTTTGTATAGTGAGATTACCGTTACTCTTGTGAATTATCAGCTAAGAAAGAAGGACAAGGAGTCTTTAAATGATACAATAGCAGAGGCATTGACCGCAAGAGGGAAAGGTCCAAACCGAAATAGGAGGTCGTAGTCTAGAGGAATACATCCTTTAGTTGGTAGAAATCAATGTGCTTTTTGCAAAGAAGATGGATATTGGAAGTCTGAATGCTCAAAGTTGAAGGATAGAGCCGGGAAGAATAAGGGAAAAACCGTACAAGCTTCAGAGGGACAATTCAGATTCAGATTCTTCGGACTACTCATACCCAGTATTACCGTCAGTTTGTTATACCGATTCTACGAAGTGGATATTGGATTCGGGTGGTACATACCACATTTGCCCTAGGAGTGATTGGTTCTTCAACTTTGAGGAGTTAGAAAGAGTGGATGTCGTGCGCATGGGTAATGATCATGTATGTCCTATCAGTGGTATTGGAACAGTTCAGATCAGGATGTGTGATAGGATGACTATGGAGCTGAAGGAAGTGAGATTCATTCTGTAGTTGACGAAGAATATCATTTTATTTGGAACTTTGGAGGCAATAGGCTGTAGGGTGATCTTAGAGAATACACTTCTGAAGGTCATAAAGGGGTTCATGATTGTGATGAAGGGAGCCAGGAAGAATAATTTGTACTACTTGACTGGAAGTACGATGACAGGTGGAGCGCTGACGACTTCTATTGATTCGGTTAGACTATGGCGTTTAAGGCTGAGACTTTCTAGTGTTGGTTCCTTGCAAGCTTCGGATATGCAAGGATTAGCGAGAGGTGCTTTGACCTACAATTTGAAGTCCTGTGAACATAGTGATGTGAGCAAGAAGACCAGGGTGAAGTTTGACATCTCTATTCATCGAGTTAAGGGTCTTCTAGATGATGTTCATGTGGGCGTTTGGGGGCCTTCCAAGGAGGCATCATTGGGAGGTAATAGGTATTTAGTTTTCTTTGTTGATGACTATTCTAAGCATGTTTGGGTTGCAACTAAGTCCTGTTTGAGTAAAGTCCTAGTAGTCAACAACTGGTGAAAGAAGTATATAAAGACCAAAACAGACAGAAAGGACAAATTACTCCATTTTGATTTTGGTGGGAAGTACAAGAGGGATCCATTTTTGCATTTGTGTCAAGCTCAAGGCAGTTTGAGACGCTTCATTGGAAAGGAAATATTGGGGCAACAAGATGATGTGATAAATTTGATGAGTTGTTCCTTGCTGGAGAAGGATCAGTGTTTGGTGTCAATTATAGTTTGAAGAAGAGTTTTGGTACTGAGGCTTTGACATATTCAAGGAATCTTATTCATAGGTTGTCATCTGCTACAACTAGAGTATTTGGGTCTGTTAGAGCTGCTTTAGATTTTGGTTTGCATCGGATATTTGGGTTCCCAGCATATTATCACATCGAGGATGTGAAAATTGATCCGTGTACATATTTGGAATTCAGAGGGGTGTTTGGCTACATGTTATGAGACTCTGTTTTCAAGAAGATTGTTCTGAGTAGTAATGTCACGTTTGACTCTCAGCAGGTGGAGAGTATTGGTCAGATCAGAGATGTATCGCAGCAGGTGGAGAGTGATGCTACTTCACGTTGGTGGAGATTACTCCACGTTCTCCAGATCATTCTATATCATTTGGGATTCCAGCTGAGGTAACACAGATTGAGGATTATGTTCGTGTGGATACAGATGATGAGTTTGAAGATCAGGATTCGAGTGCGGGAGGTGGACACAATTCAGATTTGGCTATGGTCGTTGGCTCACCTCAGGTGGAGGTGTTGGTAATTTTGTTTCTTTTACATATAGGGTTGAGGGGTTAAGCTCCAAGACAGATTTGGTGTAGAGAGATGCAAGTTTGGAAGCGAGTTTCTCTTCCAACTTTTAGGCCATTAGGAGTGTTATCAGCTGCAGATTTGTTGGTGATGATCGTGAAGTTGGTGAAGGGTTGAAAATTCTTCTAGTTGATTGAGGTCGTTTACGGTCATTTGGGTGAACTACGTGAGACATGATTCCTTGGGCAAGAGGATACGTAGGCAGTCATTTTGATGTAGCTAGTTTGATGAGTTGATACCGATATTTTAGAGTTTGTTCGCATTCTCATTTGGGTTTCTGACTTATTGTGGATTGAGTCCGTTATCATGAATTGATTTCACTTCGTACTGGACGTAACAAGTAGGATGTTTGGTTTGGTTGGTGCCAGCTCAGTTTTGGGAAAACTTCACTGAGGTGGAGAATTGTAGAATTGGGAACGACGGCGACGAAGTTCATAAGAATTGAAGCAGGGTCAGTTTTTGACCTCTGGCCAGTCGACCACGGCAACATGTGCGGTTGACCAGAAACGTGCACGAATACAGTGTAGGTTCTAAATTTCTGTCCGGTCGACTGTGAAGACTTCGGCGGTCGACCACAAACCCTGTAAACTCAAAGTGAATTTTCTGTGTTCTGTCCGGTCGACCGCGAAGTCTTCTGCGGTCGACCGCCTGTCAGGTATGGGTCTGGGCTTCGTTTCCTATTCTGATTGGGTTTGTGTTTTGATATTTATTGAAACACGTTTTTAGGGTTAAGTAAGGTTGAAAAGGGGTTATTTGGTGCACATAAAATAGAGTTTTCTGAGCAATTTGTTTGGGGTTTGTGTGAGATATTTGAGAGCTTTGTTTGAGAGATTTTGTAATCTCTATTTGTACTCTCTTCTCTACTAGTGAAAACACATCTCCTTCTTGCCCCGTGAACGTAGGCCACTTGCCGAACCACGTAAAATTCGTTGTTTGTATTCGTGCTGTTAATTTTGTGTTTGTGTGACCTTCTCTCTCGGTGACTCCGTGTTTCTTCGGACCCCAAAAAGAGGCTTCAGATCCCAACACTATGCATGGAAATTCAACACCTTTCATGAAAAGGCACTGGTTCTAGAACCAATCGCTGAGGGAACGGATGCGCAGGGCGTCACAGTTTAATTATGAACAAACTTCTGTCAAAAAGAATAAGTCAATAAATTTTATGTATTAGTAATTCCAAACACTTGGACTTGCACCTCAATCAGCAGGATCTGACGAGCATTTAACTTGCGTTTTCCCATGGTGGAGTCTTTTAGAGGCAGAAACTCAAGTGTGATGTGCTGTATATTATGCATACAGCTCAAGGTATGTACGAATTAATATGGTAAAAGCCCTGCAAGCTCTAGATTAATTTGGACCAAGCCGCATGAATGAGTGATGGGGGCCTTAAGTTAGGGGCCAGCCAGGCATTGAGGCTCTTGAAGTAGGCCACAGGGGGCACCCTGCTCCCTCACATGGAACAGCCCCTAGCTGTAATCAATCTAATTTGTTCCCTTATGTCACATGCTTTTGTGTACCCACAATAATTCCACCGTTTGAAACATAATTAAGTATTTTTAAATGAATTTAAATAGTTCACATAAGAAATCATGTACGTAAACAAAGTCCCAAAACATGCTCAAACAAATAATGGTTGTTGCTTTGATGGTCCAGCCTATATTTGGTGCTACTAATAACTGATGATGCATAGACTTTGACTTCAAATTTGACTTTCCAAAAGGGTAGCTAAACTCTAAAGGATCTTCTCCAAGACTTAAGGAGCTTTGCAGCAATCATCACAAAGTGTATTATGAAATCAATAAGTTGATGCAAAGATTAAACTGCAATCACAAGTGTCTGTGCTGCTAAAATCTTCAAAAATTTTGAAAGGCCAACAGCTCATGAATATAAACGAAGAAGCTTACTCACAAAGACAAGCATTGGAGAGGCAATAGCCACCTGTATATATCAAGAATATATGGCCATTCATAGGATGCAAACTAATCTTTTTCTATGAGGTAGTTATGCTTCTACTTGGATGCAAAGGAGCGCATCTCAGAGATTACAGGATTCACAAGGGGAAGAATTTCTCAGAAATAACACAAAAATTACAATATTGCAGAATAAAACCAGGGAAAATTTTCTTCCGTATTTTAGCTAATGTCAGTGGAAATTAACTAGAAGAAAACAGATAGGCAAGAATATAATAGTAGAAGAATTACTCAATCAGGTAATCAGTACAATTTCTAACATACTGACTTGATTAGGTAGCCATATAACAGTAAGTTGATACCATTAACTCAAAGATGAAACATAAATGCTGCTTGCTGTATGCTTGATAGTCACACCATCAACAAAAAAAGAAGAAAAAAGAACTTATGCTGCTTCTATCATAATCGATGATGTCACCCTTAGCTGAGTGCCCAAGAAAGCAGTGCCCATACAAAACGAAGTATTGGAGTTAAAACAGTCAATGAGCCAGGGAACGAAAAAATCCAGATGAATAATGTTAAATCTTATGAGTTTTACTTCATGACGAAGTTGATTCGGCCTGAGGAAATTCTATGGCTTTGGTTTTCTGCGATCTGAAGGAGGTCCATCTCTCCATCTATCATACCTTCTGCTCTCATATTTTGAACTGTTCCGTTGCTTCGGTTGATAAGTTCGGTATTTGCAGGGAATTATCTCACCCTTTACATACTTATCACCTGAATGGCAAGAAAGACATAGCCGTTAACTAAAATTAAATTCTGATAGGAAGTCTATGCTTGTAAGCAGACTGGGCTAACCTCCATAATCCTTGTTTTTAACATCAATGTAGGAATCAAGGAGTACCCATTGAACACCTGGCAAACCTATGCAAAATATACAATGAAATTTGCAATGATACCAATAGAAAGTGATCAGAACCCTTGCTTGGAAGCATACGCTGACCCTTGAATTTCTCTGATGACTCATCAGACACAGTGCATTGGAAGCCAGAGTAAGTATTGGTACTAAAGGCATACATATTCTTCTTGGCTACCTTCATGCCGTGAAGACAGGATAAGGAAACAAAATGAGAACTTCATAACTAAAGAAACAAGAGGATCAGACTTCAATCATACAATAAGAAATGGGCACTTCCGAAAAAGCTAAAAGCTTTTGTTTACAAAATTTATGAGCTTTAGGTATGCTCTATGCTTACATAAGGCAGCACGTTAAGGATTCTAATGATGAACATAACTGTAGAGAACCCATCTCTGGTTATTCCCCTCAATGAAAAATCAATCACTCAAATAAGGAACAAAATTTATAATAAGAAAAATCAATACTTCTATGTACATAATACATATACTTCGTGCAAGTGCGTACATGCCTGAGCCTTTAAAGTCCTAGAAGGTCTGTCTGATTCTTACTATAGAGCTTTAAGTAATGAACTACTTATAACCACCTGCCACTCAGCTTTGACAACAACTGAGCCTTTATCACAAAATTTTAGGGTCGACTACATAATCTTCCATTCATTTCTGTTATGAGTCATCTTCACCATCAAGTTAACAGTTAACATATCTTATCAATTGTTTCAAACCAAGTTCTTTGAGGTCTGCTCTAGTCCTCTTTGCTCCATTAACAACAATCTTACCAATTCTTCTAATTACTGTTGGAAATTAGAGAGGAGATGAGGAGATAATATTTTTCTATATTATTCATCAACTAAAAGTGCCTTTATATAGGCTTACAAAACAACTTAATCACCATAAAAATCTAAACTAATTAGCAACAACTCCACTAACAAAATAACAACCTAATAACAAATTTTGAATCAGTTATTCAACATTCCCCCTTGATTCAAAATTTCTTGTCATTCCTCTTGAATCTTCATAGAGCACTTCTCTCCACTTTGTGATGCACTTCTCATCTCAATCTTGTTGATGCACATAATCACCAACATTCTCTTAAAGGAGCACATCTCTCCACAAATATTTGTCCAATCTCTCCATGGTGCACATCTCACCATGATTCTCCAAAATTTAAGCAATGATACATAACAATGAGTTAGAAGGCAGAGCCTCCGCCTTTGGTCTTTCCAAGCATAATGTCATTGTCTTCGTTAATCTTCGAAGCTAAGTAATCGCTACCTCCTGCATCTGGATGATTAGCCACCATCACCTTTGCAATCTGATTGTCCACGTGCATGTGTTCCAAGAATGTTGCCCCATCGTTTGTGATGATGAGGTCGTCGGCAGGGCTCTGCTTCATCTTGTCCATGTCCTTAGGGCCAAGCGGAGTGCGTAGGATACGAGATTCGGCGACGCCAGCGGCGATGTTGGATTTCTGGGCGTCGAGGCCACGAAGCCTCATCTTCTGATCTTGCTCCTTCATAAAATCTGCGCATCCGAGAAATAAGGCTCTGATACCATGTTGGAAATTAGAGAGGAGATGAGGAGATAATATTTTTCTATATTATTCATCAACTAAAAGTGCCTTTATATAGGCTTACAAAACAACTTAATCACCATAAAAATCTAAACTAATTAGCAACAACTCCACTAACAAAATAACAACCTAATAACAAATTTTGAATCAGTTATTCAACAATTACTGTCTCTACCGCCCTCTGTTGTACATGACCGAACCATCTCAATTGATTTTCTCATTTTATCGTGAATAAGATCAACCTCTAATGGCCTACAAATGCACTCGTTTATTATCATATCTCTTAGTGTATATCCAAAGGACCATCATAACATTCTCATCTCTGCTAAACTCAATTTTTGCTAGGCAAATAGTGGGACAAATTTCAAGAAAAGAGCAAATGATAAATGAACCCTGCACATAATAGATAATCTCATGTACACAAAACAAATAGTTGTGAGGAACCAGTTTTAGCAAGAATGAAATTTTTTCATGTTACAATATAAGATGGGATGATTAAATGATGAACTTTGCAAATGTCCTGAATGGAAAGAGTTAGACATCCAAATATGTGGGGTTCACTTGTAAAACTTGGCTCTTTGACATTGTAATGAAAGTAAAAGGTGAAACCAAGGCATACCTCATCTTGTAGCAGCTTGGCCACACAATTTATTCGCCAGCATTTTCTTGTAATTAATCTAAATATATAGCTACACCGCACTTCATACCCATGCAGCTACTATGTGCCATGTGTATGCATATTAAGGATTCACATAAATTTCTAGAAGGAGATCATTGAACATCAGTAAGGATGGTGTAGCAGTTCAGAATGAAGGAATTCAGAAGCAGAAAGCTCTTAAACGTGTGCTTCCCCCTTGCCAAAGGTTATGGCCTATGTTTAACGTGGACTCTGCCATGGCCTACCTTGCCCTTTGCCCGCTATGCCGAAATCTAGTTGCAGTGGACCAGTGGTTGCCTAATTTTGCCTAACACTCATTCTTGATGTGTTCAATGTAAATAGTTCAGTTTTAAGTAGAAAACTCTTCCTCAGGTCTGGGGAGTGGAAAACAAAAAAGTAAAAAACTCAAGGAAAAGACCAAGGTATCATGCCATGGTGTTTTCCTTATTTTCATGGTGCTTTTGCCAAAAATAAAACACAATGTGTTTGGAAACTATGGTGTTTGTTGAGCAAAAACATCCTCAAACCAAAAACACAACACTTATTTCAAAATATTTTTATGTGTTTTCAGTTTGGTGGTTTGATTTTGAATTTGCGTGGGTGTTAATATATATCTAACATAATATATTAAATATAATTTATATAACTTATTATTAACATGCTTATTATATTATATTTAATCAAATATATTAGTAATTTTTATTAATAGTAAATAATATAAAATATATTAAGCAATCAAATTCACAAGGTACGCCAAAAAGAGCCAAGGAAGCGACAATATAGAGAAACTAAAATGAAAATGAAAATGAAAAAAAAAGATAATGTTTAGACCATCAAAATTTCAGGTCAACATCCATACTATCAATCAATAAACAAAACAAGAGGGACAAAATTTTATTCTTTTACTATTTTCGTCCCAGGAGGGATATCAGAATACGCACCACGCGTTCCGTCAAAAAGTTCCATTACATAGAAACCGCCATCTTTAGCAAAACTTCAATAAAAGCTATTATAATATATTATATGTGAAAAGATGGCATAATTCTTTTTCACAGCTGATTTATTGACTTCTGTTAATTCACTATTCAGTATTCACTCCAAAATGCAGCTATTTAACTAAAGCAAAAGTTAAAACACACTTTTAAAAAAATCTTTCTCTGGGTAGAACAGTAGTGTTACAGTCATAGAGATTCTACACACATTTTAGAGCGAAACAAGAGAAGGTTCAGCATAAAATCAGTAATGAAACTTATGAACTAAGGTCCACTTGCAGTTTTACTTAGTTAAATGAAAGAAATACACCACTAAGCTAGCATCAAATATAAGCATGACAGTTGTCATAAAACATTCTGAAATGTAGACCCAAAAAGATTTTAGTTATCCATATTTTTTTTCCTAAAATATTTAACAACACTCTGTTAATTTGATCGCTAACTAAGTAGCTTGGATGCTCACTGTTAGCCAATCTCACTCTGTTCTCAACATTTCTTAAAAATAATCAAAACAAATAGCCACTGATTAGAGTGAACAAAAAAAGGTTGAAACAAAAGCTATTACAGAAGGCTGCGTAAGGTCCAGCATCAAAATAATAATGGAGACCTCAGAAACACAAAAACAAAAGATGCCCTCAGAAAGATGAATTTCACTCTAGTTTAACAACAACAACAACAACATCATAATAATAATAATTAATAAATAAATAAAATCAACTGCATAGTACACCAAGCTCAAACCAAATTTTACTATCGAATGCTATCCGACATGTCAGAAATCCCGAAATGAAACTCTTCTTTGCACCTCTTATTATGTTCAAGTTCATAAAAAGGTCCATTTAAGGCAGTAACAAAATAAAAGTGTGCCTAAAACCATTTAAACAACCGTATACATGCCATGCCCCCTAAAAAAGCTGGTTTTATTATGTACCAAATCTATTGAATAAATCCACTTGCTAAGCATATTAGACGCTCTCTTTTCTCCCTTGTCTTTATTTTTTACCACAGAGGCCCCCGTACGTGATTCTTTAATGTTCCCTTCCGCGTATTTTAGATTAGAACTAAAACAATGCATCCATGTACGCAAATTACAGATAGAAAAAATATATATATATCACACTATACTTGACACCCTAGAACTACACATTCGCTTTGTTTCCAGTGCAAGACAATTAGAGTCTGTCAGCATGCAGCAATTAGGCTTTAAAGAAAATGCACTTCCAAAGTGTATCGCGTTAGCAAATTTTTGTCGGAAAGGATATAGCTTTATGTAGTTTACATCCCTAGGGTCATCATACAACAATCATATGTAAAGTTTCCAATACTTTTAGGATCGACAGAAGGTCTTGAGAACAAACTTCGGTTTAACGGATACCCACTTAAAATTAGGAAGATAATTAGACATAAAATTGTAAAATTGCCAGGTAACCCAAGATTTCTTTTACCTTCCGAGGACAATGGCAAGGGTATTAAGATAAGTCTCGATCATCTGCTCTCATGGCTGGATGGCTGCTGCTGCTTTATAGGAGGAGGAGTTAAGGAGTTTAAACGAAGAGGGGAGATGAGGGAAGAAGTCGTGAGGGATTTAGCGTTTGAAATGGAGTAGGAGGGAATTCGATTTTTAAGATGGACGGAGGAGGAGGAGGTTAGTGTCGCCATTGGAGTTGCAAGAAGAGAGAGAGAGAGAGAGAGAGAGAGAGAGAGAGAGAGAATGGAGGGAGAAATGGGGATTCGGGGGTGGTAAGGATATTGAGGAAAGTATTTTGAGGGTTTTAAGGGATGAGCATTCGGTCGGTCCGTTTCGTCCGGTTCAGTTTGATCTCTAGTTGGCTTGATTTTTTTTAAGGGAAAATTATGTCAATGCCCTAAAAGTAATAACTTTATGTGACATGGCCCTTCCACCTTTTCTATTGTGGTTCAACCCTAAAAATATCATATCATGTGATTCAGCCATTTTTTATATGATCCAGCCCTTCACTCTATGTCAACTAAACACAAAGAGAGAAAAACAAGCATAAAAGTTAAAAATATCATCATTTCCTCCACCCTCTCTCTCTCACTTCCTTCTCTCCAGATCTAAATCTGATCATCTTTCCTCTTCTCCTTTCCTCCTCTCTCCTAACTCATTCCCTTCCTCCTCTCTCCCTTCCTCTTTTTTCTCTCAAACACCGACAACGCCCTTCGCCACCGTCGACCTTGCGTGCACACTCCGGTCATATTGTTCGCTCATTTTCTCTCACTAATTTTTCCCGATCTCTCTTTCTTTCCCTCCAAAACTTTAAAAAACCCATAATTTTTTCGACACTAAAGGCGAAGAGGTGGCAAAGAACAAGGCGGAGGAGGTGGTGTCGGAGGAGGACGAGAAGCTCGAGGTCGTCGCAAGTTCCACAAAAACTCATTTTAAGTCCAATTTAAAACATATAAAGTTTAATTCAACTTATTTTTTTAAAAAAATAGACTTAACATAAATCATGTTATTTTAAGTCTAATTTCTAGTCGTGTTAAATCCAATTTGATTTATGTTAAGTCCAATTTGATTTATGTTAAGTCTAATTTAATTCATTTTAATTCTAATTTAAAAAAAAACAGATAGCTTGGATGTTTTGTGAAATTTGTAATTTCTATTTGAATATTGTGAAAAGATGAAAGATTTAAAGATATACTAGCTAAATGTTATTATTATTATTTTTGACAATTTTGTACAAGTCCAAGGTGGAATATTAAGTCTAAATGAGATAGAAGCAAAGTCCAAGGACTTGTCTGTTAAGCCTATTTGGTTGAATAATAAGTCCAATAGCTTGTATGTGAAGTCTATTGGGTTGAATAATAAATCTAATTTGTTGAATATTAGATGTAATGAACTTTTTGTTCGTGTTAAGTCTAGTTTAGTCCATGTTAAGTCCAGTTTGATTTGTGTTAAGTCCAGTTTGGTTCGCGTTAAGTCCAATTTTGTTCATGTTAAGTCCAGTTTAGTTCGTGTTAAGTCAAGTTTGGTTCTTGTTAAGTCCTATTTGGTTCGTGTTAAGTCTAATTTTGTTCGTGTTAAGTCTTATTTAATTAATTTTAAGTCTAATTTAATTCATTTTAAATCCAATTTAAATCATGTTAAGTCTAATTCAACTTATTTTAAGTCTAAAAATAAGTTAAATTAGACTTAACATGAACTATGTTAAGTCTAATTC